GTTTGTCGTTCGATCGTTTCGCACTTACATTCCTTCCCCTCGCTGTTCGGCGCTTCAAGATCGATTGGCCGGTACCACGAACCGAAAGTTCCGAAGTAGCAGTCCCACGTCCGTCGCATCGTTGGCCCGTCGTGCGCTGTCATTGAGTCGTCCAGCGCGTGGTGCGTTGCCATATTGAGAATGGCGTGTACAAGTACGTAGTTCATACGGCCCCATTTTTTTATCAACGTATTTACAACTACTTCAAAGCCGAAAAAGTGGGATTCATATTCTTTTTCTATTCTTAATATTGATCGTGTGCGTTAGATGACCCACGACTTTGAATATATTCGGTATGCATCAGTTTGAACGGCACGTGACCGTGGAAAAGACAGTGAGCGCACCTGAAACCGGACAATTCTGGGTCGGCTGTTTTTCGGGCGGAAACAATACGAATTGCGCGCCGCAAACTGTGTTCTGGGTAGTTTGACTCTCGTAGGACACGCATTTAAAAGCGCATACGAAGATATCAGAAAAATTGATTAAAAATCTGCATCAAACGCCTGTTCTGTCCTCGTATATTTATTGTAGTTTTTCGTCACCATAATTATTATTCATAGTTCCCCGCTTCAATTCTGAGTAAACATGAAAAAAAAAAATCCTTCGTGTTCTCGTGTATATAGCGAGTAGTTATCTGATCGGATCTGCCATTTGTATTGCTCTTCTACCCGGAGTGATTATCCCAAAAAATCCTACATGCTTTCACTTTATGTCTGGTGAGTTTTCGCTGCCACACTTACTATGTAATGTGATAAACAGTAAAATATTTCCCTTAAAAATGAAGTACAGGTTTTTTTACCACCTTAACATTTATTTTGTTTCCATTTTGCTCTACCTGAATTTACTGTATTACAATGCTCACTTGGGCTTATTTATTTAGTATTTCTTAGTTTAAATGTTCTAACTTATCCGGCTGTCGAGACTGCAGCAGGTCCCCAATCCTGCTCCATAGGCGGACCTTTTAGATACTTCTGCTATGCTCTGTTTCACATGTAGTCCAACCGCAGCCGATGCTGTAATCCGATGGAGCCATTTTAAGCTGGGTCAAAATCGAATCGTCATGGCGCTTGCTGTCTATGGTGTTAGCTATTAGCGGCTAGATATCAAGCACAAAGGAAGGCGTAGGATCGCGGCGCATTAACTGTGCGTGATTGGTCTAGCCGGGTATAGCAAGCGCTCAAAAAGAAAGAGCACACTCTTTAAAAAGAAAGCTAGTAGTATTTACTCGTTAATAGCTAGAAACGGCTTGCAACAAGTGTTACTAGGTACCCAGCAACCGTAGGTAGTGCCAGTCAAGCGGTTACTTGGTCGAAAAGCTAGTAACGATTACTAACCAACCTAGTATTTTTTAATACATTTAGCTAGTAAATGACCTTCTCTCACAAGACCCAGGTGGCGCTAGTCAATGTCACATATGAAATAGTAAAAAAGTTATTATTGGTGGGATAGATAGACACACGCACAATACACACGCGACGACACGCTAACCCAATCGCTGCACTCAGTGGCTACCCATAAGCATTTTGTACTGATCATTTGAAAGAAGTTAGTTGGTCAGTGCCCATTTCGTCCGTGAACGATATCAGAAATTTGGTGCTGCCTTAGCACAGATATGGTTCTCGAATATTGTTGCTAGACATTCCGAGGAATGTATCTCTTACAAAAAAGTAGCGGTACACAGAGTAGTTATTTGCGAATCTTTAAAACAACGTCCCCATGGGTTTCCAGCAGCCATATTTTCGTTTCCTCGCATAGCAGCTGCAGTTACTACCTGTTGCGCATTTGAGGTTGTATTTTAGCCAATAATAAATAGTAACGGTCAGAAGAAAAAAGGTTCCAAGTGCTACATTTACTAACTTGTTTACTACCTATCGCGCGTTTGAGGTAGTAATTTGTTTGTAAAAGGTAGTAACGGTCTGGAAAAAAAACTAGTAACTGTTGCAGTATTAGTTTTTACAGGCTGTTTTCTAAGGCTGCACAGGGACGATGCAATTTTGGCGCTCCTTGGTTGGGTTTATCAGGCAGTAGAGTCGGCGCTGTGGGTGTACGTAGTGTAAAACGGAGTCTACTCATAGAAAGTGATCCAAAATAGGTGCTTGGCGCATCAGGAGGTAAAAACGGGCACGCCACTCAAATGGCAAAAGAGAAAACGCGGAGAGAATGCACGATGATGAAGCATTCAAGCGCGCGTCGCCATTGGTAGAGGTTAGAGTCACTGTGTATATGGTGTGTGGAGGTAAACAAAGCTAAATAATGGCGGGAATTCCCTGGACAGTATGTTACTTCCGGCTGGCTATTTATTGTTGCTCGTTTTTGAGGACACGCAGTGAGCAGCGAGTATACTATATAAAGTCTCACCGTGGAGTAATAACTACGGTACCTCCTAAAATTCAGATGCTGTAAACGACGCAATTTTCGCAAGGACCTAATTTTCGACAATTTCGCGAATCGCCTACAATTCCCAAAAAATGGTCCCGCCAACAATTCCTGTAAGATGAAAACAAATTGGAATCTATATTGAGATCCCACTGCGTCGCGACAATCAAAACAAGCGAATTATAAAGAAAACCTTTCGCTTTTGCCTAAATCGCTAAATATTGAGTCCGCGAAAAATAAGTTGTTTACAGTAAATAGGATGGAAATGCCTTTCTGATCCCTTACGGAAAACGAAAGGGCACATGTTTCTCAAAAGAAATGACAATCTTCCGAAGGTATTGAAAAGCGCATCTTTAGGACTACCAGTTAGACTAGCCTGGTCCATATATCTGAGAATGACTTAAAACCTACAAATCTCTAAACACGTTCAATTACTTCGTGAACGGTAAGGCATCGGCAATGGGCACCAACCTCCCCCAGCCGCCCAAGATACGCTTGGAGCTTCCCTGCAGGGGTGGCCGAGCCGGGTCTTGGTTTTAACAAACAATCTTGCGAATATTTTTTTTTACAGCGGAGCTGTTAAGGGCTAGTTTCCCCAGGATCGTGTCCCCCGCAAAGAAATGAAGACACCGAACTCTGGACACCTACCGCCATCTATGAGCGACGGCGGCAAGCCACGTATCTGGTTGCCGTCGTCGCTCATAGATGGCGGCAGCCTTTCCACTCTGGCTTGCCGACTTGAGGCCGGCCATTACTTTCCATTGTACAGCTCTGCGTGTCTTCCTCCTTCACCAGAGTGGAAAAGTTGAAAGTTTGTTTATTACGCTTCCGTAAGCGTACGACACGACGCGAGTCTCTGTAACACACACTTTTCTAGTGTCTTGACTTGCTTGCTTTGGTATTCAAGGTTTCTTTCCCAAGGCACCGTGCACATTGCATTTGTACGTGTCGTAATTGCTCATCACTGTACGGAGATGGGCCAATCGAGGTGGCACGGCACCGGAGCCTCATTTTCACGCTTCTCGCGTTGCGCCATATGTCGGCAGCACATTGAATAAAGCTGGCACAGTCTGCCAATGCCGTCATCCTGCGATCACCTAGGCCCGCCGGCGTCGGTGGCGTCCCCCGTCTCGAAATAATCAAAGCAACTTCACTCGTAACATTTTCTCCGTGTCGGTACGCATCGTCAAATTAAAAACACGACACTGAGACATTTACAGAGTGTAGCTTTATAGGTTTCGTTGACTAGTGAAGCGAGAGATGTCGCACACACACCCTAACACAAGGAAAACATCGTAGATCCTGAAGTATTTGTGTCTCCCTTTCATGGCGGCCGGAAGTGGACCCCACACACTGTTTACGCAGCTTTAACTGCCAGAGTAGCCACACGTGGCAAAAAAGACCTGTATGTACAACGTAATAAGCCCCATAGTTAGCTCCATATTGGGCCTGGAGGTTACCGTGTTAACCTAAAGTCCCTTGCTAAGAGCTTCCTACAAGTAACGACATTCCTTAAAGCACCGACTGCATGACCGTGCAGGTTTTAAAAAGCGGATGGTGCCGCACAGCAGAGGTTTGAACTGAATGCCGCCATTTCGTTCCAGAGGAATGTTCTTTGTCATTTCTATTGGTTGTCTTTACTAGTGAAATATGTATCAAGGGACTTTATGTTAACCGAGCTCCTATCGGCGCCTGTCTGTCACTCTATTAGTATGGTTCACTTTATCTCTCTATTCGAATATTAAAACGCGCTAAATGTCGGCAAAAGATAATAAAAGCCACATGAAAGCGTGATTGGCATACCGGCACTGGCATATCGGATGTTCTGAAAGCCTCACTCACCGTTTGTTCAACGAAAGTAGAGACGCGTACTGACACTTTAAACTTCGCGCTTCTCGAAAAAAAAACGAAAGGAGCAGACAATACGGTGAGAAACTGGCGGAGAGGACGAGACGACAAAAAGCCGTAGCATCATAACGCCGAGCTCCGGTCGGAATGATTAGTGGGTAGAATCGACACTACACTCGTCGAACGAGTTAGAACGCCGCACGCCGGCGTCCGGCGTTTGGCGTTTGTATTCAAACGCTTTAGACGAGTGCAGTAAAGACAGAGGCTGCTAGCTTTCAGTTCACTCACCAACCATTCCAACGAGAGCTCGGTGTTCTGACGTCCCGGCCTGCTTTTCCCTTCTGCTCTCTCTCAGTTTCTTCCCGCATATGGAACCCGAATGGGGATCGGAAACCTTTTGGAAAGCTACATCGGCAATGGCCGATTCCGGCTCCTTCGGGTGCTATAGAAAGTTGTTATGGTACAGCGCTAGACCAATCGCGGCCAGGGGCTGCACGGGAAAAGCGCGCTACCACTCTGTCAGCCAAAGCTGCCATGTACTGTGGCGGTAGTCAAGGTCGGGACGAAACAAAAGTACTTACGTTTGCGTATTTGGCGGGTAACAAACGCGCGTCTTGCGCAAAGATACAGATGGGCTCGCATGTCGTACAGGGATTGGCCCACTGCGTGCTTCATGGGAAAGCAGGCGCGCAGACATTCCTTTAAAGAGTGTAGAGAAGAAAGAAAGAGGGACTCACCCGCACTGACGTGCACGTCTCTGCTGGCTACGGCTCCGACTTCGTTGCTGGCCAGGCACCGGTAAACGGCCGCGTGGATGTCCTGTCTGTAGGCGTCGGCGGCGAAGGCTGGGAACGTGAGTGCCCCGTCCTCTGAAAGTGCCCGGAGTCCGGCCACAGAGGTCACGGGGCTGCCGTCCACGGTGATCCAGAGCAGCTGGGGCGGAGGGTCGCCGTCGGCCTCGCAGCGAACTTCGCCGCCGCTCGTGTTCGAGAACTCGACCCAGTGAGGAGGTTCCAGCGTGAAGAAGGGCCCTCGACGGACGCCTGCCGAGACATCGGCCAATGTGGGAACCCCCAGGGCTGTAAGATAGGGAAGATAGGAAACAAAGGCGACAAACATTATATTTTGTGTTACTTTGAATTCCCTTCATGCTTTGCTTCCTTGCCACTGGCAATGTAAAAAATGCAAGGTATGGCCAGTTCCGAGCATATACACTATTTTCCAGACTTCCGCATTAGGTGAACAGTCCGCACCTCGTGCATAGTTCGAACCTAAAATGTTTATACATGACACACCTCGAAATATGACTGCTTTTGCAAAAAGAAACTTGTATCATAAAACAAATCATAAGTGACATAATTTCTGGTTAAAAAAAGGCGTGATATTTCATTGTAATCAACGACCTTAAAAGGAAAATCCTTGTATAGTCCACACCTGTACATAGGCCGCGCCGTGTTCAATTTTATCTTTGAGACATCAATAGTCCGCGGAATGTGGTCCGAAAAGTGTGGTATACGCTTTAAGACATCTGTATTGTCTACTTACTGGTGTAGCACTTTAAAGGGACAATCGATAAAATCTACGGGGGAGGTCGGCCGATGAAAAGGCTGAATAAAAGTTTAGGACTAAAATCAAGTCTGCGCTGTGAAACAGCAGGGTGAAACATCTAACTCGGTAACCCAGCGCCGCTTTTTTTTTTTTTTTTTTGTTTAGGTCAAAGCAGTTTCAGATTTTACCTTTGCCGGGTTGCCTCAGTTCATTACTGTGATTGCCATTTCCAAGTGCTTCAGTTTAATGCAGACGCTCTATATTTTGCAGGATGTTGAATGTCTTCAATGGATCTTAGTGCTGTAAATCAATTCGGCAAACAGTATGTGCCGACACAAAGATAATTGAGGCTGTCAGCAAACGTGCATCTTGGTCGTGCAATGTGCCTGGGAAAAATTTGAGGCGGAGCTCTCTGTAAAACGTGAGGGCAACAAACTGGCTGCGCTTTACGCTGGACGTGTTTGAAGACAAGCGAGTTAGCAATGGTTGGAGCTTGTTGCGCTTTAATCTTTTACCGGGTAAAATTCGCCACCTCTATGTACATTCGGAAATGTATGTATCTTTGAATGTGAAGGCGGCAATTTTTCTTGCTCGATCAACAGCACTAAGATCCACTGAATACCTCCCGTAATTTTCGCAATTTAATTGGGGCATTACCCGGCGAGAAGGCTGGTGAACAAATCAAGAAGCAAAAAACTTATATACAAAGTCATTATTTGCATTTATTTTAATTGTTGGCCAACATCCAAGTAACGACAACTAAAATTTGTATCGAAACACTCTTTGAGAGAACAGTTTGGTGCTTTTCCAGCTATTATGCCACTGCGCGCCGCCATTCGCTTCCTAAAACCTGCTTCGTCACGAAGTCCGCGCTCTGAAGAAAAACGAGACGCGCAAGATGCACGAATAACCCCTTGAAACTAAATTCCCTAGATAAAGGCTTCCTACAAGTAGCGATATTCTATGACGCGCCGACTGCGTGACGGTGCAGGTTTTAGGAAGCGAATGGCGGCGCACAGCAATGGTTTGAACTGAATGGCGCCATTTTGTTCCAGCGGAATATGCTTTTTCATTTGTTTCGGTTGTCGTTACTTGAAAAAAGAGGTGTCAAGGGACTTTACTTTATCCAGGATCACTGTGATATGAGATACCAGCGGGCGCGTAATGAGTTGAGCCACCTAAAAAAAACGAAAAAGGTCCCGGGCGTTATCAACACTGCATAACACGCAGATAGCCAGGTAGAGTGATCAGTACAGTCCCAGCGTGAGGACGAATCTGAAACTGCTTTGACCTAACCATTAGAACTGAAACATTCGAAGTGAGCTGGAAAGACAAACAAGAGAAACGTTATACTCGTTTTCCCTAGCTGTTGCATCTTCCATGTCAAATTACTGGATATAGTCCCTGACAGCTCGAGAGTCGCAGGCGTGGCTTAATCTGAGGGTTCGCGCTTCTTGCTTCGAAATTCGCGCTTAGGTGTGCTCATGCGCTCCTGCCGTAGTCACATTGCTTGCAAGGATACAATACCATGGGCTAAACGTGCCACGCCTAAAGTTTCTTTCGTTGCCAGTGACTATTGGCGTTGAGATCTGTTGAGATCTTTTGGTGGCGCCACCTCGCGGATGCCCTCCTGTGACGCAGCTGGTAGGATGCGTGCAGACGACGTGCAATGTCAAGGCACGGAGTGGTTATGTTAGTTGACATCTGTGCCGAATTAAAATTGTCTATTTACTAAAGAAACACGTGTAACGTTTTTGTGAGCGATCTTTCTAATGAATAGCAGTGCCTCGAAGTTGTTTTTTTTTTTTGTAAAAGAAAAACTTTAAAAGGTTCAAAAACAAGCCTGGAGCTTCACATTACAGCTTGAACGGTGTGAGTCAGAGCTCTTCACAAACTCTCTGTTTCTTTCTTTTTTCTTCTTTGGAGGTTGTTGTAGAAAAAAAGTTTCGCATTCACAAGAGGAAATGATGTGCTGTCTTAGCAGTGCACAGTTCTGTTGCAATACACCACACACTTGTTTCAGCTACATTTAGCTTGCCGATACCGGCGCTTCGATCCAAGTATGACTTGACAGTTGCTGACGAGAAAATGCTTGTCAGCAACTGACAATTAGGTCCTCCCGAATCGAATACGCGGCAAAGAAGTTTGTCACATCGCGACTTCTGCTCGATTAGGAAGCAGAAATTTCCATAAATTATCAAAGTGTCGGCCATGGCCCGGCAAATTCAGGCGATTGAATAATCTGTTCAATCTAATTTTTACTATGAATTTTTTAGACAATTAAAATCGCTCACTGTGAAGTGCATCACGCATTATGCACATTTGGGTCCATAAACATTAAATATACAAACGGTAGTAACCCATGGCACGTGCATTCCTAATTTTATGGGACGTTGAAGTGTCACCAACTAAGTAGATTTGGGACTTCGAATGCGAGGAAGTCGCGCACGTTTCACATCGACCGCTTGAATAAGCCGGAATATAGTTGTGAACGACTCCGAAAGCCAGCCACCGCTTCTTCCTGCGTGTTATTTTGAAAAAAAGAATGTTTAATCACAGGTCTATAAAATTAAAAAAAGTAATCAGCTTGGTACTAATAAGAGATTAGCGCTTAGAGAACACATTGGAACCAACTGGATACACGGAGTCGTTTTAAGTAAAGTGTTAACTACACGCGCGAGATGTTCTCGAATTTCACTTTCCTATCTCCAATTAGATGAGACATTCTTTTCTTAGTTTTATTTTGTCCTTATTATAATAAAAAAAGCACATTTGTTCGCCGTGATAGATGTTCTAAAGCGATGAATATCTTATTTTCATCATCCAGCTTTCCGTATACTGGGATAGAGAACAGCACACCGCCATCCAAGCGCTTTGAAACCTTAGCGCCAAAAGTGTTTGTTGGCAAGACTACGTGTGCCCCATGCAATTTCAAACTTTGGTGAAATGTCTTACTACCAATATCACTTCACCAAATAAACGCAACGCGTTAAGCGCTTTACCGCGCGTTACCCTAACGGCGCATGAAGCGCGTTGATAAGCAGAGGGATCCAAGATCTGCACGGTCTGACCCAGTCTGTCCTACCCATGACGTCCCAAACGATGATGATGATAGCGAAAGAAGCACCCCCTGTAGTTGTCACACGCCGCCAATATCTTTGTCATGCAATGAAGTGACAAAGTTTAAAAGCTTAACACAGACTGGCTTCTCGAAGTTAAAGCAAGTAGGCAGGCGAGCTGGCTAAGGAGAGGATAGTAACCCTGGGGCGAGGGGACAAAAAAGGGATGGACAGACACGAAACTCCGAAGTTCCCCGTCTGTCCGTCCCTCTTTCTTCCCCTTGCTCCAGGGTTACTATGTCTTCGCTTCTCATGTGTCCCGAGAAAATGTAGATAGGAAGACTTTTTGAAGGCAAATATATTACATCATATTTTCACATCGGCCAATATCCAAGCTAAGAAACCTAAATTCAAGCTAAATATGAGCTAAATTCAATATAAATATATTCTAAACCTGCCAAAATCCAGACTAACATGCCTAAAATCCAAGCGAACATGCTAAAATCCAAGCTAACAAACCAACGATCCGCTTAGCCTACGTTTTTTTTTTGTGGTCGAATTTAATATTTTAGAAACATTTTTAAGCTTTTTGAGCCACGACCAAGTTGTCAAATTTCGTGTTTTTAATGACAGCATGAAAGACACCAAACTTTAGCTTCCAGGCGGGCGTGCACTATTCATAGAAAGCAGATGACATGTCAAATCGAGACCGTTTGCGGTACCATCTTCAACCCTCGAAAAATAAAATAGAAGCAGAAAAGACGTGGAAGGGAAGATCATCCCGGTATGCGTTCAAGCCTGAAACTTTATTAATAAATTTATGACGTGAATGATGGTGATTGTGTGATGGCTAAGGTGCAATTTGAATACGTATTTTTATGGCTCTAACTCTATTTCCGCGCTCTAGGGGTCATAAGAAAACCAAAATTACAATTGTGCGTGATTTTTTGTCTAGAATAAACACGAACAAACTTCACGAAAGTATATATTTTAGGAAAAAGGTTGCGCAGCGATGTATGTTGGAGTTTTTAGTGAGGGAAGTGCCACGCATGGTACTAATTTTGAGTTTTATTAAATGCTACGGCACGTGCTGGGCTGAGCCTTAGAAAACAGACACGTTCTCAAAAACTTCTTTACTGCTTTTAATTCACTCACATACATAAGAAAAATGCATATATTTTCTTAAGCACCCGCTGATTTTTGCGAAAATGTACATTTACGAGAATTATATTTATTGTTGTAGTTCACCTACCAAATGTTTTTTCTCCATTGTAGCTGCCCGTCTTCCTTAAAGAGATTGAGAAAAAGATATTCCTTGAGCCCAGATTATCGGCTAGGTTTTATTGCCGGAGGTGTAACACAAAGATACTGTATACCCCCGAAGTAATAAGGTCTATAAGACGTTTCACCAGAACTTGGCGAACGACGAAGGCTACGGTCCCATTGATCCAATCAGCATGTCCAAGAAATTCACGTGACCACACTTCAGCGCATTAGTTGCCCGCAGTGCTG